ACTGTAGTTGGTATGAAACGATATGAGACATCCATAGGTCGCTGGTTCAAATCCGGCTCGAAGGATTCTATTTTTTGTATACTCATGCAAGAAACTTTAAATAATAACCTAACATTGAAAAAATTCAATAGTTATGCTAACAGTGACATATTTTTACTACACTAATTATTCTAATATCTCAATATCCATACGGATGGCAAAGTTCAAAAAATATTATTAACTGGTACGCAAATCAAGAAGTCCGAATAAAAATGTATATTTATGCTTGAATTAGCATATACAATTATCAAGTTAAAGATACTTCGTATAAAGATACGAAGTAATGCGTTCAATGCGAAGATAAATAATATTTTAAATCTTCCCCAGTGCTCCACTATTTATTACCCCTCGGTTTGACGTAATCCACGTTTTTCTTTACATAACTACGATTTATTTATAAGCAACGTTATATATTTTCAGAAAAAAAATTTAGGTTCCACCGAGATTTGAACTCGGATCGCTGGATTCAGAGTCCAGAGTGCTAACCATTACACCATGGAACCTCTTATCATATACCTTATCCAATAACTGTCTAAAAGGGTCATGCAGGTTATTAATTACCTAATCATTAAATCACATACTCCCACTCAAAATTATTCTATTAAAATATGAATTACACAAATTATTTCTGTTCACAATTACCAATGAAAATACCATTCAAACCTTAACTCTACTCCAAGTGTCTGGAACATCCCAAAAGTACGTGAAACCTCTATATTTACATTTCCCCGTTAAAAAAAAAAAAGTAAAATTTCACCAAGCTAAGAAAACAGATCATCGAATACAGAATCCAAAAACTTACCCGTTACACCATGTGACCTAAACTTCCCTCATTAAGAAATATTAAGATCATCATGACTGGTACGATTAATCAAAAATATAGAATCCATAAGTATCCCATACTACAGAAGGGTCACTCTTGCGAAACCACTCAAATTAATAAGAAGTCGAAGCATATTCTTCTCCAGCAACACGCTACTTGACGTCCAATCAAATCATCCCCTTCTCGTAAGAGAACCCCAAAATTCAGCAACACCCTCGATTTCATTTCTCTCTCGTATTATTCCATGGACGATACAATGCTTCTTCCTTACGCTCGGTTAATCCTTGACTGACAGCTTATCCTTCCCACTACTTATGTACTCGCATATGAACACACGTGAATATACGTATGGAGCCGCATACGTCCGAAATAAACAGCAGCGCGTCGCGTTACGCTCTGTAGGTGCAGGCACACCCGTCACCAGATGACAACCAGGAACAAGTGGCATTGTTAAATCGTTTTAGATTCAATCACGGATGATTCAGAGAGATTGGACACGCTCGGATGATCGAGACGGGATTCGGTACTTTTTTTCGATTCGCCTATCTATACGAGCGTCATTCTCGCAATCGGGCGCACTAACGCTATTTCAACCGATATCCGAACTCCCGAGTGCTTTGCTCTGGGCATAAAGGATCCTCCACAACGGGCCGCAAGCGGGATTACGAATTGAACGCGATACTCGCACTGCGGTGAGGGTGCTCACGCGGCACCACGTAATGTGCTTGGATTGCACCCTATAGCGATCCACTTTGCTGGAAAATTAATGCAACATGCAATTTAGCTTCTTGCGTGATATCGGTGGTCGAGCGGATATGCATTGGCATGAAAAAACAAGAAGATCCTTTGACTCGGCGTTAAAAGCCACCCGATAGAAACAAGGTCGGTCGTATGGAGATATATATAATAAAATAGCGTCATAAAAAATTCTTTGATTCGCTCGAAGGAATTTTTTTACATTAGCTACGGGTATGACTTAGAAGTAATTTTTTAAAATGACTAAATCGCGGTGAAAAAAATAAATGGATTTTTTCTGTCCTCGTTAACGAAGACGTGTGTAAATTTCGAAAAGATGACGTACGTGAACTTGCCATGGTATCGGTGTCTAGATTAGAGGAGATATTTTTATCGCCAGTCATCGCTCTAAAGGACGTTTAAATTTTCCTTCGCTTTATAGATTCCTACAATCTCATGGTGTTTTTCCCAGGACTCATGGAACCCTCGTGCAGGAAATTCGCTCTTCCTAGGTTCTGTATTTTTCGCGCGGAGCCAACGTACCGCGACGATTACATCTTTATGGTTTTATAAAAGCGGCTGCAATTTAGAGCGAAGATTCTATCTCGGCCTTCGGTGGGCGAGTCCACGTGTAGATACTACGTGTATACAGTGGAGTCGGATTTCAACAAGGGTGCACGACCCTCCCGTTGGAAATATATTTTTGCGTCAAATTGCTTTGCACAAAAATAAAAAAAATTACCAGCAAGCGTCCTGACGACCTATACGAGTATTCATGTCCAAGCACTTGCCAACCTCTAATAAAAAAAAAAAAAAAAACTAGTTTATCTATACACTTATCGCGCTACCAATTTCTTCTATCGACGAAGATAACGGCATTCGTCCAAGTGCGAAGTTGATTTCTATAGGAAGAACTTTGGATCCAATTGATTCCGCGACTTGGATAATAAGAAATGGGTGCGATCCAACGTCGTACAAAGATGTCCCGGGTATATCGACGAGAGTTGAACAGACTGAGACGGTTGACCGCGTAGAGTCGAAGTGCGAGCGAGAGAACGAAGATAACTGCATTCAGCCGGGAAAACAGGCGGCGATACGCTGATTTACGGCAAATCGCAATTTTACATGTTCGAACCGCAGCAGCCGCAGGTGAGCTGACAAGGAGTTTCAGGTTACCGTGAATAATGTGTAGACATAATAAGATCCTGGTTAAGACTCGCACCAGGAAACGAGTTACCAGTGGCAGACGGCAGCGTCGCGGTGCATTGGCATCAGCGCCATCTGGATTAATGAGTCGAGTTATCGCGACGCGCGGGAACCTTTTCTTCTTTTTTTTTATAATGAACTTCGCTGCCAAATTTTCTTCTGGGGATTCAGCGTGATAAGACAGAACACTTATATACGCTTAGCTTCGTCTTCTTCTTCTTCTTCTTCGTCCTTGTCCCACTCTTACAGCGCCACGCCGGTGAGCCCCGTTGCTTCGCTGCAGGGACTTAATTATCTAATTAATTAACCTCAATCAGAACGATGAGTAATTTCTCGGTTCGATGGCGCCTTTGCCGTCGAGACTTTCTTGTCACACTGACTGCAGACTGAATTACGGCTGAGTTCACGGCAAATCGATTATCTTCCAATGCCTACCGTCGGTTCTGGCTCTGCCGTCCTCTGTGTTGCTCTATACTCTATTACCAATCCTGTTCTGCATGGGGTGCCCCGAGAATCTCACCCTCGGGCACTACCCCCTCCTGTCACTCTCGAGAAATCTCGCCCTGTAACAAGCCAAGTACCCTGAAGACCCAATCAAAAAAAAAAAAAGAAAAAAAAAATCGGACTAGTCTCACTCTTAAAAAAAGTAAGGGATGTTTCCGACCTAAACTACCCTATGCGTATACCATTTTTCTGGGGGTGGAAAATAAAAAAAAAAACACTAGGCGCGTCTCGAATCTCCAACGATGTGTAGCTGACATCTTTGACACGTCGAGTGGTTTACGCCGGGTCCAGCTTTCCAAGTTCCATCCCCTATACTCAGTGCTATTAGGGTGGTTGTTGGCTACTGTTTTGCATAAACATCTCCGGAGTCGAATCCTCCCTCGCGATCCGGCAGGGGTGGTCGAAAATGAAGCGTCCAGGGCGGAGATTCCTTTAAGCAAACCGCATAATGGGTCAGAAGTGTTTTCCCAGTTGATTCCCTGTTTATTCTACGTTTATCCAATGCAAGCAGTGGGTACCAACCTTACTGCCGTGAACCACTGTGAAGTTTTAAGCACGGTTTAACCCTGGCCTCGGGTATGTTTAGCTAACTTCGTATTTAGTTAGTCAACCCTGCCCTCGGGGTGTCGCGGGAAATGACAAGTGGCACGCCACCCCTGAATCATATATATATATACAGATACGTGTATACACGTCTGGAACTCGATAGACTATATATCTATATATATAGAGCACAGTCCACTTCACCTGTCCCCGTGCATGTGTCTATATATTATGCCTATCTATATGCGTATTATCGATCACTAAAGCCTTTCATGTGCTAATCTCTGTTTATTTAATAAAATGCTAATAACGGCAATAAAACGAGGGTGCGCACAGTTTTGTATTTATAAAATTATAATATATATCCCCAGTAAGAGCGGTGAGGCCGTTACGTTAGCAAGTGTCTATTTGTCGTGCGTTTATCCCGTTTGAGCTACGATAAAAGCATGGAAATGATCTTAGAGCCAGTGACGAAGGAGATTTTAATTAAAGGTTACCGGGGTATCATAGGTAATAATTTTATCAGTGCAGCTTTATAGTGACAATTTCTATGCACCGTTAAGTCACGAATGGATCATTTAGCTTTTATCGTCACTCAGAGTTTTCGGTGTGGCTATTCTCAGTCGGCTTCTTAAGCTACATTTGTTTGATTGTCCCGGCAGAATGCTTGGTATCTCTGATAATTTTGCAATCAACTCATTCGCACCTTTTGTTACGTTGTCGTGAATTACTTAACAGGCTGCAATTAAAGTCTGGTGGACTTTAATGCACCGACCTCCAATGAATTTTGATGCTCCCTTCGACCTCGTATCGTTATCGATGGGTCCCTGCTTTCGTGTCGTCGATCGATAACGCCGTACACAGAGATTCTATGGAGAGCTCACGCACGTGACGTGACGCGGTTTATCGTTACGTATTGCGTTTACGCGACGCGATTAAACGTCGCCGACAGGATTAAAGCTCCACACTCAACAGGACGAGCGATCGTTTGGATGTTCTGGAACAAAAAAAAAAAGAATTTTTATATCTACAGTGGCTGTCCATCCGCCAACCCAGACTGCAGGACATTTGCTTTAACTACGTGCAGGAATTCTGTGTGCACCTATGTATATCTATATTTTAGCTATTCATTACGTGACACCACGTGGAAATGAGTTGGACACTGAAAACTTTGACAGTAGCTATGAGTAGGTTGGTAGCATTGGTTAACATGGATCAACCTTATTTTTTCGGTCATTAATACGTTTTTAATTTTTATTATGATAAAATAAAATTAGAGTTCAATTAGATTGATTTGTATAAAATGAAAAAATGATTATATAATTAATCATCGAGATCGTTATCCAGAATGCTACTTTTTATTAATTTTTTAATTTTTTACCTTAGGGTAGGATATTGGCATTTTTTTGACTGGATTGATAATGTCCGAAGGTAGAGTCAGATTTTCATATTTTCAATACGATTCAATCCGGTTCAGCTATATTCATTTATTCGCTAGCGAGTCTGCTGGCGCAGCAAAAATTCCCCGGGGCGTAAGAGAATGTTTTTTCGAGCAAATTCCATTATGTCGTAATCCACGTATTGCGCGGCAACGCTTTAAAATTCGAAAGGTTTCCCATATCTGCCAGCTTAGCTGCTCGCGCTCGCTGTGAAATCTTGCAATTCTTTTTGGTTGGGATTGTTTTTTTTTTATTCTTCCTGCTGTACCGGAGAGCCTGCTTGTATGCTGCTACATTCACAGTTTGCGAGTAAACATACGTGTCACGATGTGACGTCGTCGTTCTGTCTGGAAATTTAACACAAGATTTTTAACGCATCGGAAGAACTTTTATATGAGGAATCCCTTCTTTTCGTAGCTCTTTACTTTTGCTAATGGACCACCCTTTGTCAAAATGTTTTCCCATAGACAATGCTACTTTTCACGACTGATGAGATCCTATCCGATATTCAAACTCCTTGACATTTACGATCGTCAGGTAAAATCATTTACAGATAGCATTCCGGAACGATTTTACTAATTTTTTGTTTACGTCAATTAATCTTTATTACAGTCATTTATTCGTCTATACGTTTTGGACAATGTCTTCGTGTGTATTCTCATATACATACTTTTCTATGCTGCACTTTGGTACGCTAATAAGGTACGTTGCATATGGCTGCGTCTGATTGATCCTTATAATTTATTTTTCTTGATCGTCTGAATAATGTAGGTAATTAAACGAATTGAAAGAACGAATAATGAAATGCTGCTAACCGTGAAAGAGAATAGAACGGTATGTTGCATTACTTAAATAATAATAAATTTTTCTTAGAAAATGCTCATTAATGCGGGTTAATCGAATTACTATGAGGTACTTTGAATTGAAGAATTTTTGAAATATTTTAATTGATCGACAACTGGTATTTTTTACGTGAAAATTATAAATCCTAATTTTTCATAATTAAATAATGATAAACCGATAGCGGCGCTAGTTGGAATTCTTATGAATGAATGTTTTTGTGGTCGTTGATAATTTATATACTCCTAATGATTTATTATTATAGAAATTGGATGACGTCATAGCACTGAAGAACAAACGCGCCGAATACGAAGAAATAGTAATTAAAGCGGTTAGTGGATAATACAGTTTTGACTATTTGATTAATGATCGGTGAAAGGGAACCATTAGCTATCTAATCGAATCAATCGATTTGCTGGGTGATAATGGTGATATAACATTTCTATTCGCTTTTATACGTTTCTTTATACCTTTTTTTTTTTACATTGGTTTCCTGGAACACGTGTCATTTGTACCCAACACGCATAGAGCGAACAAAATATTAGTACAATCGTCTGCGCCATATGCACGTGTACATATAGCAAGTCGTTTGTCAGAAAAAAATTAATATGACTTACGTTGCAGAAAAGTGCACAGAGAATAACCGCAAAACATCTAGATAACGAGGTGGGTCACTGATTACAAATAGTATGTTATTTCATTAAATGGAATTAATGTTTTTCATAGATGAAGAAACTAGGTAACGAATTGGTAGCGACGGAAAATAAGATGGCAGAGTTGGAAAAGATCCTAGGAAAAGTATTTGACGATATTTCAATCGGTGGTCCAACGACTTTTTAATTCAGTAATTGTTATTAAAAATTAGATGATTTTCAGTGCAAATCTTGGGAAAATACATATGGTAGTTTCAATGACGGAATCATTGGGTCACGAGAAGGCGAACCTCACGAAGGAACGAAAATTGCATCAAACGTATTCGAGGACGTCAAGGTATGTAGTAAGAGAAAAAAAATTAATTAATTGCGAATTGCATTAATCGAAAATAAAAAAAAAAAACAAGGTCCTCGAACCTTCATTCCCGCCGCCATTACCGAAAGAGCCGCCACGCAGGAAGTACGGGATCTTTGCCAGTCGTCCAGCCAATCAACGTACAGTGGCGTTGCTTCCAAGCCCCAAGAAATCACCCCAAAAAATTGGATTCAAGTAACGCAGCCTCGGCTGAAAATTCGTCCAGCGAATCTATGCGTAAAGGTGCCTACACACATTTTTTTTTCTAATTTCAAAAATATTGTTTATCTCTTTCACAAGAAAGTAAAATGTCTGGATTTACTGCTGCAGAAAGAATATGGCCGAGATACAATCGAAAACAGGAAGGTGACAGGCGACGATATTGTCTAAAAAAATATTCCAGTAAGACGCTTTCGAGAAAGACGTCTGGCGCCGTAAAGAAATTCCAAATGGAATCGTTTAAGACCTTAAGTCCTTTTACCAGGTCCGTCTTAGGCCTGGCACCAATTTTGTTAAGGGACGACTACTTATCAATTCATTAGTATTTTTTCCTTTTTTTATCTGTACAAGATAAAGCTGAACCTATTATCTTCATTATGGCGTATACACAATTATTCGCGATGTAGTTGGTTGTAATTTAAACGAAACGTCTACGCAGTTGCACACCTACGTGCGATTTCACACGGATAAATCGGGACGTCATGCGATGCGATTATCCTTGATGATGATATTGCACGTAGGTGCACAGTGCTGTAATGGGGCATCGCGAGTAGTCGTGATTCTTAGAAATTCAATGTTTACCGTACTTTGTAAATTTACATGAGAATCGGCCCTGCGCCTGGACGCTTTGTCAAATAAGTAGAATCTGTAGTAGGTACCTACCTCTATTGCTTTGAAATACGAAAACAGTTTCTCGTCGTTGAAACTCCCTGGGTTATCGACTTGAAAGCCTCGCCGGCAATAAAATCCCGACGAACTGTAAACAGATCCAATGAGAATTCGCGAGCAATTTTTCGGCAAGTTCGTATTTCGCTAGATGGAGAATGCACTCACTGGGTGTCGGAGATAAGTTTCGTTGAATTATATCAGAGAAATGAACTCGGTTGGAATTGTGATTGTGATAAATGTTATTCGACCTGATAAATATTAATGTAATACGTTGCATCATCGATAAGAAATAATTACGTGTGTTACTATAAATTACTTATCTCTGATCTGACGAACGTGGAATGCAAAGAAATTGATCCCGTGTCACGTGCAACTTTTAATTTGCAATTAAACAAATGCTTAGAAATACATAGATTCCATTAATTTTTGGTGAAAAATTATTTAAATTCGTACTATTAATATACAACAGCCATGTATATATATTAAAAAAAGAAATTTATGACGTACAATTCCATTCGAGTAATATAAATATAAAATTCACTCGAGAGCCATCGAGAAATCACATTTGCAATTACAATACCTCTCGTATACCCGTTTTTAATTAGCAAGTCAATGGCTTCCGAAGCATAACGACATTTTCAAGGTGAGCAACGATAATTCATAAAATATTCCAGAGTCCCCAAAAACAAACCACGAAAACAAATGTATGTGTACCCCACGAGTCCGTCATAATATAGTTTTCATCTTCGATCATTACGGAATAATGCAATTTTTTAATAAAAATGTCAATAATTATATATTTTATTAAATTACATCGGCAAAGTCAAATATTCCCATATTAAATTCCTATGTAATAATTCATTTCCAATTTCAACTCCATTTAGTAGCCACTTGAGCCACATACGAGTGATTACACGTCCCAGATCTCAATTGCATACTGAACATACTTTCACCTGACCTTTTTCTGACAATCCGCATGAAAAGTAACACGAAAAATATGAAAAATACGGGTAACAGTAATTTATTCGTGAAACAGGGTGCAACGTCGTCAACGAATAATTCATAAAATCCGATCGCGAATACCAATAACGAATCTTGGCCTTCTGATCCAGTAACCAAACAACATAGAGGTACGAGAATCTAACTTTCACTTACGACTCGTTAGGTGCTGCACTGTTGGCCAACAGGAGTTGGTTTCGAATCATTCACAGTCATTCCGCGGCTCAGAGGCCCAACGGCAGCGCAACTTCTGTAGCAAATAGGTACAGTCATTGGCTGATCCGTTATCATAGAGCCAAACTCGCGTTCTCTTATCTAACTGGAGTAACGATAAACATCAACAAGTTTGTTAATTTTTTTCGGATAACAGAGATTGACGTCATTGTCATCGGTGTGCGAATGTGTTTACGTGAAAAAAGCACAGGAAAAATTAAACGCGGAATTCTTAAATATTTCTCTTGGGAATAAAGCGACGCGTTACGGTAGAAGGAAGTGGAAACTCACTGTGTTAACCAGACTGTCAGTTTTACCTTGCGCTTGGTAGAAGTCTGACGACTTCTGTCACTGTTCCACTGACTCTTGTAGTGCTTTTTTTTAAGTTTCAACATAGCTATTTAAAAGGTCCAAGTGTTTTGGCATTGCAGGGAAGTACTTTGTATCTGTAGGTACGTAAATGCGTGTACGAGTAATTTTTTTTTACGGTACTTCTGCATGGGTATGATCTACGGTACAGATGCGTGATTCGCGAGAGGAGGGGTCCTCTGGATGTGAAAGTAGAAGGAAAGTGAGAGTTCTGGTACGAAGATTCTGCCGAAAGTGAGAGGACGAGTCATTGCATGACGTTCAATCGCGATTGTTGCTCTACAGAGATGCGTGTTGTTTCGTGAAAATGGAATAATTTTTTTTTTCAATTTTGTGAAAAAAATAAAATTACTCGTTACATTTGTTTTTTTGTGATCTCGTGAAAAATTTTGTAAGTGACTATACTCGTTACGATCGTTTGGTTTGTCTGATTTATAAAGTGATTGATCCGATTGCAATTAATAATTACGTTATGAAGTCAATAGGAAGATTTTGAACTAACGATATTGTGATACTTTCCAAAGGTTTTAAACTACTGGAGGCTACTGATTATGGCTATGGATACGAGTACAGTACGCCTAGTCATTTTCCTGGGAATGTTTTTAGTCTTCGCTGGCGATTACGGCGCCGTGATTTCGTCCATTTTTGGAAATGGCCTCGAGAAGAATTCAACTGTTAATACAAAAGGGCCTGAAGGCCCACCCAAAGAGGGACTGCATGTAGAAAGGATGTCCATTTCATTGGCGAATAATGAAGCCGAGGAAGAGAACGGTGAGAATATATTCGAATATATTTATGTATAAAAAATTATAATTATATCAGACGTAAATATTAAAATATAAATTAAATAAATATCATACGTATATATTATACTTTAATGTCGTGCGTGACTCCAGGCATGTATTACGTGATAAGAAGCATTTCAATTACGCAAACGACACGCACGCTTAGTATTATTCCTCCTTTGAATTGGGTATCACGCGAATTCATTAATCGTATTTATATCACAAGTGATGTATTCTAATGTGTTTGGCGATCGTCAGAAATCATATATAAAGCTGTACGCGTTTCTTAAAGCTACGGAATATACGTAGAGTCGCAATATGCTGTCGCAGCTACATCGTATGGAATTATTGAAGTAATACAGATATGAGTTGCGGTTACTATAGTCTCCAAGAAAATTAATATGGAAATTGGTTAACCTCATTCTCTCGGAAATTGAATACGATTTCTCACATTAACGTCGACCTGCCGAGACATTCGAGTGCTTCTGTAATTACTTAGAAACTCTCAATCTACGAGTCCGTTGATGATTATTCGCCATCACACTTTTGTATTACGATCTATAAATTGTACGCCGTTTCATGTTTAAATTCATCAAGGTCAAAGGTGAAATTGCGAGAACTATAGACTTTTTTCACTGGTCTGTACGATCCTTCGGAATTACCTTGAGTCGTTCGTGCCTTGTGCATGTCAAGGATAATTTGCGTATCGTATAACGAACGTGAGAAATTCTTTGAAAATCTTCTATAAATTTTAACTACCAGTCTTAATTTGATATACGTCATAGTCTTGATATCTAGAATAGAATCAATCATCCAACCGGATCTGGTTCAAATGAACTCGCTAGTGTCATTCACCTTGGTAAAACCGATATACCCCATCTTTTCTCTCTAAAACTCCTGAAGCTAAATTTAATTGGGGAAAAAACTGTTTTCTTGGAAATTTTCTTAAAATAGAAATATTAGAAAAATTTTTAATGAAAATTGTGCATACTTGGAGTTTGCTATAAAATGTAATTAACACTCGACACGCTTTACCTATTGTATAATGAAGCTACGGGAATTTCTGTAGATCGCGCGTCACTGAAGCGTAACATTGAAACGTCGTTTCAGATTAATGATTTCTGATCTAGAGAATCGATCGCATTGACGTAGAATGCTAAAGAAAGAAAAATAATACAAGTATCATTTAATGAGATGGTATATTATTCTGGCATAGAACACGGAACAAGTTAGTGATTTCGCAATGATAATTCTTCCAGTTTAATTTGATTTCCAGTTATATATTATTACATGCTTGTATCACTTCTGTAATTTTCTATTACAGTGTACAAGAGTTGTCTATGATAGTTTTTCGTTTGAACATAAGTTTGACTTTTGAAATTTTATTACTCAAAAAATTTCAAAAATTTAATTAACCTGTTTTATTTATTTTTTGACCTTTACCTAAATTCACTTGACGCGTCGTCGAATACTCTCGCGAATAACAATGGATCTTATATTACGATACTGCTTGCAAGACTCGTGTACCGAATGTATATTCGTCATTGGATGCATGACGTAATCGTTTGATGGTGAATCGAAAATATTTATATTTCTCATTTGAAAATATTCAAGGATGAGTCGACGAGAATGTTAAAAATCGCGGGAGAAAGTACGCTAAATTGTGACAGAATTTAGACTTACAGATAACGACTACTGAAAACGAGACTGACCAACATGGCTGACACGCAAGTATGGATAAATTAGTGACAACCATCTATAAATATATTTTGAAGTGTTTAGCGTTTAAATCGAATTTTCTAAGACTTTTTATGTTTCCTTTTTTTTTTCTTTTTCTTAATATTATCTTAGGTAATTCTCGCAGAGCCAAGTTGATGTCCACCATCAAGACTGCCTGTTTGCCAAAATTAATTTGCGAGCTAACCTCGACTGCTAATCAGGATCAGCTGAGCGATATGGAACGATCACTTCTCAATCTGATCAGGTATAAAATTATTCAATTTTATGTTAATTTATTCGTGTCATTAATAATTAAAAAAAAAATAAGTGAATTTATCACTTGATAATAATGACAATTGCAGAAAATATATGTAGCGTACGATTTCGCTGCTACATTGGTAGTGCAAAAAGAACTTGAGGTTTACTTTCAAAAGTTGGACTCTCTGAAGTCAACTTTCACAACTTTCATTCGCCGATAGTCGATGAAAAAATTGATAACGTGCATCGATTAATTTAATTCAAATGTCTAGATAAAATTTGTATTTACCATGATTGATTACACTGATCGATAATATTGTATTCACGTATAGATGACGAATTCTGGAATAATTTTTTCTGTCAAAACCAGTCGTATCAGGCCAACGTGAAAGTCACGTTCATTACGTAAGTCACGGGTACAAAATCGGAAACTCGTAGACTCGTATTACGAGTCTTGTTCCAAAGTAGTCAATACTTTCTTTTTCGTGGATTATTCAACACCCGTTAACTTTCTCCGGCCATCAAATACAGCGAGAAAACAATGTCTTTCTCTGCCCCGTATATGTGTAGGGTGGATACAACGATACCTGAGAAAAAACATGAAACTAAAAGTATTAAATAAAAAAGGAATCTAGGAATAAAAAAATAGAAGCAACAATCACACATTTTTTGCTTAACAGACCTAAATTACAGACTCCAATCTTTATATTGGCATAACTACAAATACAATGACAAACACAAAATCGAGATCATGGATTTGATTTTTATTCGTCGGATCGTATAAGTAAAAGTGGATCAAAATTGAGCTAGAAAACATTAACATTTATTCTTTATATCCATATTGAACTTTGAAATTTTGCCATTTATTAAGTCACATTTTCCAATCATTTTTGATATCCCAATTTTAGTGCTCTATGACAATTTTTTTTAAAATTAAATATTATATCACTAATTAAAAAAATTTTAATAAAGTTTATGAACTTGATATTTGGGTAAAAAGTCGGAATTCCTATAAGCGTGCAAAAATTGATTTATCCAATTTCGACGTCTCATGTTACTCGTGGGTCTTATCCCTAGCAAGTATTCTTGTGCAACCACTTATTACGGAATATGGCTCTGGTGGAAACCTTCGCTAATTATACGTTACTGCGTTTATGGCCGAACTGCACAGCCAGACATAACACGAGAGGTACTGTTACACTCTCTAACTGTTTTCCCGTACACTGGGGTACGCTAATTCAGTTGTATAAGTTCTAATCGTCGAGCTCGTTAGATTGCGGTACGATTCCGACTACTAAACGTATAGATATATGCAGACGTAGGTGTACGTAGATATTCCATGATACGCATAGGCTGATATAGAAAGTAAAAGGCGGACTCGCCTTGTGCCTGTTCTTGTCTTTGATTCTAAACGTGTTCGCCATGACTGGCTATCGCAATAGTATGTTTGTATTACAGCAATAAAATCTATAAGTTATTGGAACTACGACAACTTGACTTTGCTGTAAATAATAATTATCAGGGGAATTGATAATTAAAATTGGTGAAATTCGGAAAAATGATTAAAAAAGAAACTTTTTAAGGACGTTGGCTATTAGGAGCCACTCGTGCGAATATTGCATAATTTATGATTAATTCATTTTCGCAGAGACACCAGTCTGAGCACTACGGCGGAAGTTGCATCGAGATATCATTTCGCCGCGCACATGGGACAACTCATTTCCGGTCTTGAGGGTCAGGGATGCCACAACTTTTATCCTACTTGCCCACTGCCAGGATCCAGCGTTCTCAACATGATGAAGAAAATTCGATTACGTTGAATATGATCTTTCGTTATGTTTTTTGATGAATTCTGTGATATATCGCAATTACGTAAACATTTATACTATTATCTGAACGAGCTCTTTTCGAGGATCCGGTAATTAGGATTCATATTCATCTAATTAGGAGCTTTGTTTTTTTAATGAAACACTCGACAAGCGGTTATCACTAGCGACTTTGCTCAGCTTGTTTACCTGTGTATTATTAATTAAGATATTTGGTATGTTTGGAAATGTTATTTAACGTTGCTAAATATGTAAAGGTACTTTTAAGTGACGTGTGCTTTTTCTTATTGCAACAAAATTAGGGACTTTTTTAAGCAACGCCTGCATCGTTGCATTTGAATCCTAAGGATTCACGTAATGTGAAAATATAAGTTATGTATATTGTTAATATTTAGTCCTTTTAACAATTCTTAGTGCTGCTCTCGTAGATCTGTTTATTAAATATAGATTGTGAAATTAATGACTATGTAATAAGTTAAGGAGAATTCTCGTAGGAATACTGATGTAGTATTACCTACCTGTGACGTATTTAATGTACGATATGTGCATAGTCCGTTAACATTAAAACTCATAGAATTATTTGTAAGAGGAATAAGTGAGAATTGAGGTTATCAAAAGAAATTCGGTAAAAATTTAAGTAACTATTTCGCACTAAAAACTCTCGTACTACGAATATGGAATCTCATAACTTCACGTATATAAGATTCTATTCGAATAATTAATCGTGGAACTAGTCTGACTCAAGAATGATAAGATACAAATACTTTTATTTTGATTACCACGATTGTTAACAATTTCTTAACAAAGTGCCTAACGATTGTACAGAAAATGAATGAAACATTTTATATAAATAAAAGTAACGATATCGATTGAGAATAAGTCCTATCAGATTTTTCTGCGTTATCCCCCTTTAAGTCAGAGATTATTATGCAATTCCATGGGAAAAATACACTTCTGGAATATAGAAAAATCTAAGTGATAAATGTTACATCACAATTTACCTACAGCCAAAAGCTCATGCATCACGCGAGCCCCGAAGCTAAAAAAATTATGTCACGTAAACGACATTAAAAGCAAAGTTTCCACAGAAAAATAGTATGTAGCGAAAGTCGGCTAATGAGAAAATATTAATTATCAAATATCACCCGCCCCACCGACTTATTGCACTATTCGAAAGACAAATAATTTTGAAATTGTACGAACGTCATAATCGTTATTAGTAACAAGAAGGTACTCGGATTTCGAGTTCAATTCCCAGAGTTCATTTTCGCCTGGTGCGCTATAGTGCATATATAACTATACTTCCATACACAAACTGTACATCACGCACCCTGTAATTTCCACAATGGTAGCAGTGACCAAAGGTCTTTGGCTTTGACCCCAGCAATTACAGAGTCAAGAAGAAGGAAAGGCAATTGGCCTCACTAGTATCTCGCATTTGACAGTAGGTATCGTAATGTGCGTACGAGTATTAAATCTCTTATAATTCAGCCGTAGAAAACGTAGCGAGTGTTAGCACTTCCGGTTCCCTAATTGCTTCCTGTCAAGAGAGCAAAATAACACTAGCTAAACTTTCCACCGTCGGTCATTGCAGTATCGTAGAAAACTACTTCTTCGACAACAGAAATACATGATCGGATTTATATAAAAGAATATAATAGATTTTAAGAAGTAAATTTGTGCCTTTGACATTTTTTTTTCGTCATACACACGTGGTTCAGATATTCCAACCACGTGGTCGGCGGCACGTCTGCCCCACGGCGAAAGTGACGACCTTGTGTTTTAGCCTGAAGACCTCATCGGGACAGGTTCATCACGTTCAAAATGTCGCAATCTGTAACTCCTATCCGAGCATGGAATCGCAGGGGGGGCACGACTTTCTCTCGTGCACGACTGCCGTAGACCGCGGCAGTTCAGGTACATTCAGCAACAAGTTTTTACCAAAGAAACACTTGAGTTTTGACTGGTGCTCTCCAGTGGACAAGTTCGGTGCAAACTGATCACACGGTACGTACTCTTGAGACTGTCTAAAATACATCTACAAAGCTATTGTAAAATCGGATCGAGATACATTATTCAACGATCATATAAATACATCATGAAAGAATGTACGAAGACCCTCGTAAATTTTAGACTATACATCCAGAACTAAAGGATACCAATAAAATTCAAATAACGTCAATTACCTTTATAAATACCGAAAAACTAGCGTGAAATTAAATTCTCTCAAAATTCTTTCAGATACTTCAGGATGCAGCTGTCAAGGATACCGTCACTCCTCGTCGTCTGTTACCTGATATTGACATGCGTGACAGCCGCCCCTAGTCCACAGGAACCTGCGTTCGAAATTCCAGTACAGCTTGTCGGTTTCCCCGTGATAATAGCTGCCGTAAGAATAACGAATTTCGTGAAAAAGTTAGCCTACTCCTTGAACCCTGGTAAGTATTATGACCAGTCATTTAACGTGGTATCTGCTATGTGGTTTATCGTCGAGTTCGAGTGGCTTCCTAGAAGCATCCCGTGGTGAGATCGACGAAGCGTTAAACGACAGTGCCTTTGATTTATCATAGAGAACTACAAGACACTCCTGTCTGGTCGTCATTATAAGAATCTTCGAATAGTAATAACTGTCTCCTAGATAACCGAAGCCCAGACTGAATATCAAATCGTGAAATTCCTTAGGTCTCTTTCTAACGTTAATAAAAGCACAAGGCACATTCGCACGAAAGCGAAAGTGCTTCGCTTGGCGTTACGATCTACGGGACATTAAATTACGTAACGAAGAAGTAAACTGCCGTACGATCAAGGTCTCTCAGTATTATCTTGCTATTCTATATTCGTATAGAAATTATTGATTTTCACCGTTAAAATATCTAACTTAACGTCACATACTGGTTTTGTACGTCTCAGCGTGATATTGCCATTGAATAATATTCCGTACTAAAAAACCTCTCTTAGTGACTTGCTTGATCGAATTTTGATGAGGATGTACATTCACGAAGTCTCGTTACTTGTACTTTCCAGAAACTTACACGAGTCGCGTAAGAAGATCGTTGCCGCGTCCTCACGAGGAAGAAATTCTCGACGTTGGACAAGTCGAGAAAAAGCTCATAGCCGAGCTTGGGAATAACGTTTGCATTTACGAGAGGATATGCTTCCGGTATGCAGCCAGGACTCTTCAGCGCAGAAGCAAGGAACGGGTCCTGGATTGGGATAACGTGTTCAGGTACGACAAACTTAAAATCATAATAAATATAGCAATGGTAAAGTATGCCGCTGGAGCAAGCATGCTATTTCATTAATCATTACGTTTTCTGCAACGTCTATCGAGAAAGACTGGCCTATAGTTCAGGGCTGTGGACACCGGCGCCAGGTGACACATTGCGTCACGGATATTGTCTTATGTCGGTATAGACAGAGAAATAGAATAAAGAAATTTTAATGAATTTTTCACTATGATAATCAAAAGAGTCCTTATGTCAATCAATTAAACATATAAATATTCTTAATCTACGTACGACTAATACCATACAGGATACGTTCATACGTCCACTCGATAAGACACAGAGTGATAACTAAATTTATAGCAGAGGCAATAAAGGTCTCGAGAGTTTTTTTTTGTTAAGTGAATCACACCAATTAATAACTTTAGGATCGCTAAAAGCAAAGCGATTTCGTGTTGATTATTTTAAAGAAAATCTAGGCCTGGCGGTAGTAGGGAACATTAGAGTATGGACGGTAGAAGTCTTGGGCTACCGACTCTGCTAAGTGTCCTTTCTCCCATCAAGGTATAGTGAACCTACACTAAATTTAGTTGTAAGTAACGCTACGAACAGATAACCTTAATGGCGTTGGCTCGTGCACCCTAATGCGTTCCGATAACTACGTTTCCTCTACTTCAGAATCACATGTCCAAGAGTCCACGAACTGGCAGCATCGAGCATTTTAGCTCCTGTAGGACCTCGTATTCAGTACACTGCCTGAACACCAAAGATACCATACACCACAATGTAGTAAGGATCTTAGTGAGCTGTCAGATTACCTTACCCTTATCAATAATCCATCCAATATGAGAAAAGATTCTGAGCACGTGCCACGTTCTCAGACCAAACGTCTTATCCTTCTTCGAAGGATGCCTTTGGTATATCAGCATCCTTTACAGAATTCCACCTACGGACTGTTTCATAATTTCAAAACATTTTAAAGGCACGATCGACTAATTCTTAGATAACAAGATGATAAAGGATTGACTTCAGCTTGACGGACGGTCTAGACACGAGTAATGGCCCACTTTTCTATGGTTATTAGTATATCTGTATATCGAGGATGGATTACGTAATTTTTCTTTAATTTCACTACTGTCAGTGTACTGTCATTTTTTATGCCTGAGTGTTAAACTTTGGCCACGTGACTTTTTGAAAATTAACGTTTCCTACGACCTGTCCAAAATTGCGTGTAGATGCGTAATCAGTGTGTGCGGTCAACCGCGAACTCGGGTTGTGGCATTTTTTCAGTTTTCTTTTTTCTTTTCTTTTTTTTTCTTTTTTTCTAAACTCGTTTAAAGGGACCTAGAACGATGCGTCTGTTTACCGCACTTTTACAGGAGGCTCCGAGGAGCGCGTTAACACGCGAACGAGCCTACAAGCGTTTCCCATGGTTTTCTGTCGTTACGACAGCCATTAGCATAATCGACGAAACGAATATTTCTGGTTCGTCGATCACGGCACGTTCGGAACGCACTTTCCGACGTTATACCAAAGTATTTCAGACGCACGATAACTCTTTGAATTTTTAAGTCTCCGCTCGATCATTTTCGATTGCGTATAACCGTGTTCCTCTTTTCACTTGTATACTTGCAGTCAGTATAAATCATCGCCTGATCCAATGAAGGAGAATTACTTGTTGAGCGTTTTCATGGGCGACATCATCGGCAGTCCTAACCTCTGTCATCAGTTGGCCAAACGTGGACGTGGATGCAATGACGAGCTATCCGATTGATGTGACATCGACAAACCATTATCTAAGATAGAGCTGGAGCCTTGTATAGATTGTAAATAATTCATGTACATCTTAATACGTCCTACTGTTTGTATAATAAATTATTAAGCGTTAGGAGAAAGACTGGAGATAAAAGAAATGGAGGTAGGATCCTCTTATATTTTGTTCGGGGACCTCGACCTCCACTTTCTCCGATTGGCTTTACTTTGGCGCCAGTTTCATGAATAGTTATACACTCGGACGTCGTCGTCGTCATTAATCATGGGATGACTTTTTGGATTCCCCGCGTATGTACATAGATAAGGGATTATTTAACGAGTAAGGAAGTTTTTGTGAAATAAATATTTCAAAAAAGAAAAAAATAATAATGAAAGAATATTTTGCTCTTTTCGTCCGGTACACAATTTTTGTGATCCCATTTACAAATATGGCACGTTCCGTGCTGATTGTTGGAATTCTAAAAATCCTATATCAATACCCTTTTCGGAATCCCGATTCTTTTCTCTCATCGGCTAAAAGCGGTTTGCATGGAAACGTCTACGCATTATGCGAAACCGTATGTAGGTCCTTCCACCTCGTGTCAGAGAGAGTTGTCGGCTGATGACGTTTCTGCCGACCCACGCCTCTTTGAGAATAAAGTTTCGCTAAGGAACGTTTGACCGCAGTACCAAGGAAACTTCCTTCGAAATCGTTTGGTTGCAAAAAAAAATTCAATCGTCGTCTTCGAATTTTTGGATTCATTGGCGTGTGGCTAAAAAAAGAATACAAATCCACTAGAATCACGCACGATAAGCTCCCGCGAACTGAAACAACGCTTTGGAGTTGCAAACAGAAAACATAAATTATCACGTAATTACCAACGCGTTCAGAGTCGTATTAAAGGCCGGTGCGCGTTCGGTATTTTATTTGATAAACTTTAGCCGTGATATTTCGTTAATGTTCGCCTCTTAGTGGTCGCTGTGTCGTTATCGGGAAACTCGTTGAAAATGTACGGGATAACACGGCTACGTGGTGCTGCCATTAGAAGTTAGAGTCGTATGCAAAACGTGCGAAGTTCCTTTGGGTAAAATGAAGTAGCGTGGTCGAAGTGAAACTCTTTGAAGTAAGCTCGTCGAGTAGTTAACTTTTTTTTTTTTTTTCGAAAAATGTACCAGTTTCGGTACAGGCTTTATATCTGTACTAATATGGTGTCCGTAGTGTCATTAACGAGATTGATTCTTATTTTTACTTTGACACTTTTTCTCAAAATAAATGTCGTGCATTCTATAACATCTACGGTTCAATCGGAACTGTCCCAGGAAACGGCCGGATTGCGCCACTGCAACTTCAGCGGCAACAAACAGAAACTCTACGGAACATCCGAGCTGCTACAGTGAGTATATAAAAACACGTGATATCTTCGGATAAAACGTTACACGCTCAGAGAAATTTAAGTGGAACTTTGTTAAACTTACTGGCTGCATATAAAAAGGTACGCTCGGTAATCTCGGCTGATTTCTCGTCGGTTTCGTGTAGACCGAGTTAAGAGTTGAAAAGTCGTCTCGAAGTTACGAATGGTCGTGTTGCTGTGGCCGACAGTAACTTACCGCGTTCCACATAACTTTTAAGTTCTTCTGCCTCTTGGTATACTTTACGAAATAGTTTGGTACATTACTCAGCATGAGAATGTGGAAAAACATTGAAAAGACTTTAATCGAGTTCTCGTGAGAACTTTTGCTCGCAGGCAGATTTACCAAATATAACGAATCTGAGAAAAATAAATTTTTTTTTTTTCATTCGTCAGGATTACTTCGATCGATGAATTATTCGTTGTTGGACTTTTTGAAGGTTGTAATTTCTTGCAAATATTCTTACAGGTGCATGAACGAATTGGCAACCAACGCAATTAATCATGTTAATGGCAAATCGTTCGAAGATAAGGAACGAGCATTTCGCAGAAAAGGCAGACCCTATTATCCTTCTGGTTATACAGGTCGTCCAGGAAGCGAACCGTACTCGCCGTACTATGATTCCAGACCTGGCAGACCGGTAGGTTGAAAATTTGAAATATTTAAATTACCAAACAGATGGATATTCGTATATCTATATTCGAAAGTCATTCTACGGACTTTGACTCTTTTATTTTACGGGTGAACCAACCTACGTATCCTTTCCGGTATTATAAGTGTGTACATCACTCTGAGATAAGGAACAAAGAAATTATTAGAAGAATCTAATTAGTCTGGCGACACGTTAAAAAACTTTTAAAAGTTTCGACGGGCACTTTCACTTTTATTGCTCCAACGCTTAAGGTACACGTATATGCATATGTAGAGCTAAGTGTCGATACGAATAATTGTCATTTAAACTCTAGATAGTGTTTAACATTTACGAGAGGAAATTTTCAAGATCTTTTATTTTTGGATTCACAGATATATTCCGGCACCGGTCAGTCGGATCTTCAACCGGATTATTATCCTTCGGGAATAGGGTATCAGGGCATTCCTGCTGGTGGTTTAGGCGCGCTGGGTGGAACCGGAATAAATCTTCTAGAAGCGCTCTCCTCTATTGCGCAATACGATGATTATAAATGCGTTCCCAGAATCCTGTGCGAAATGGCAGCCGGCGGATCACCCGGTAATGGAATTTACAAACAAGCCGGCAGTTCGACTTTTGAGGATTTAGGAAAAAATGCTCTTTTTGGGTATGCACTTTTTAAAAAATAATTATATACAATCATTGATGGAATAATCGAAAATTTTATTTTTTTTTTTAGATTACTGTCGACCATCGACGTCGGAGAAACGTCACCGATATTGTCCTTTGGCAAAGCTGCAGTTTTGGGATATTCGAGTAAAGGTAATCCCGAAGCGTGCTACCAGGAGTACAGGAAGTGTCCAAGAAACTCTGACGATCTCGTATACTATTTGAATAATCACAACGGCGGCTTCTTTCGCTTCTTCTCGAATATCGGTAACACTCCCTATTCCTCGTTACAAGGATCCTATTCTCGTCCAGGTAAATTAATTTTTTGAAAAGTTTAAATAAGTAGCTTAGCTCGTACGATCACTTTGTTATAATATCTAAGTGATCTTTACTTTGTCCCGGCAGTCGACCAATTCGTATCAGCAAGAAGGGAGCCAGCGCCGCCTCCAGGACTCTCAGGACCCGAATCCGATCGCACTGGCACGGGAGAGCTCAAGTTTGACAATCCCGTCCCGCCGTCCCGACGGGATTACGGGAAAAGCTTCTTCCCCGGAGGACGCGCTCAAAACAGCTCGAGAACTTTTGCATTCCCAGGCGAGGAAAAGCTGGACAGCCAGCAGCCACTGAACAGAGTCTCAAAGTCCTTGGTAGGATATCAGGATGCCGGGAGCAGTTATCAGACTGGATCAGGACATGTCAATCCTCCCTTTTTCCCTCAGGTAAAGAAGTCGATAGGAGCCAACCGGATATTCTCCATGTTGACGTAAGCCATACAAGGTTCTATTTAATTTTTAGGACGGCAAAGATCAGGAGACCAATTTGCTCTACACGTCGAGTCATCCAAATTCACCGAATTCGGTTCAGCATCCACGTGGTCAAAATTCAAGAATAAGTTTCCCAAAGGCGCGACTTTACGTACCCGATGACCCGATCAACGAGACCATGTCCACGTTCACATTTCCTGATGGCACAAAGGTCAAAATTAACGTGGGCTTCTCCAAGCTCTTCTCCGAGGGCTACAAGAAGTCTCTACGACGAAGCTTTGGCAACGACCGTGGACCCCAGCCAATAAATTTTGATGGTTTCAATATGGTAAACCTGGCTGACGTATTCGCGGATAAGGAAGCCCAAGTAACGCAACCCTGTGACATGATATGCCATGACGTAAGAGGGACCCCGGTCCAGTTCAATCAGATAATGTTGAACACTGGTACCCTGAGCACACTGATGTCCCCGGAAATGCCGGTTTTGGATCTCTCCAGAACGGTACCCTGCGAGGTGATGTGTCTCGATCGAGCTGGGGAAAGGAGACAAGCCTCGACCATCCTCAGCCACGTGCTGAGAGCTATTCATAATGGACCCAGAGTACCCAGAACCCAGAGTAACGACTTGAGTCAGCAGAATCTTCAAGGTTTTAAAATTTAAAAATGAAACGATACTACTGTTAGGACCATAAGACATAAGAGTAACAATGAGGCTTCGCGAACGCGAATTGCGACCCATTTCTTCTGGCCATTAAAAATTCCGATTTTTCGTTCCGTACCTCGGTGACGATGATTTTAATTGCGTCTTACTTAATTATTAATTTAAAGAAAAAATTTATTCCACGCTATTATTGTTCTCGCATATTCAAATTAACGACTTGTAGTTATTAGTTTAGCTGAAGTAATGGGATTATGTATGCTTGTATATATTAATAAAGGTTGACACGATTCAACGTGTTGACTGTTGATTAATCAAGTAATAAAGTAATTATCAATTAAAGATATTCCATGCGTAATTCCATTACCCTTGTCCTGGTGCTAGTTTAAGACGGGATACGAGGCTGATGCAATTCTAATGGTATTTCTCTAATGATAATGGTAAGGCGATGTTTCTCCACTTGATTCTCATTGATTACCAATAAAGACTTAGACAGTCTTGTTCGTATTTACAGATCTATACAGAAAGTATGCAGACTCTCTGAATCAAAGAGGAAGAACTCTTTCGAATTTTAATATGGATCGGAGTAATTTACCATATTCAGCAAATTATCCATCAGTCCAATCGACCGATTTTCAAGGATTCGACAATCGCCAATCGCAAATTCTCTCTCAGAGCAGAATAAGACGGGAGCAAGAACGGTTACGAGACTTGAGTCTAAATTCACCACGCGAAATGGAAAGTGGTATGTGATACAATTTTCTAATAACATATATCAATAGATGTAAAAGAACGATAAGATCGATCGCCTGAAATTCGGCAGCCCGATTTACTTCAATACCTACCAAGCCTACCTGTACGCGGGACAGTGATAACGATGATACCGACCCAATCGATAACCAAATACCACTAATTAAATGTCAGTCAAACAATATATTTCAGGTGCGCAGCATCTTCGCGAAGCAAGATTAATCTCAGGACGAAAACCGTTAAGATCAAAGTACGACAGTCAGAAGATAAAACTTTCAAGACGCGAGAGACAACACATGAATACACCAATCATGATTGGCGGTGCGCAGGTAAGAATATACAATATGCAAAAAGAAAATTTTTTTAATTCCTCTATTTACTGATTTTCATGAAAAACTCATTTTAGCCCATAATCAATATCCCATAGCACACGTCATTTAATTTTGCAAATATTATCAGTGTCGTGCATTCCACTGTAATGTACAGTCCCATTTATTTACTCTCATACAGATGCCTATGCCAAGTGGCATGTCGTATCCAAATATAGCAAGTGGCCCAGCAATCGCAGCAATGCCGCAGGTATCAATACCAATGCCAGTATCAGTACCACTGCCAATACCAATGGCAATAGGACTTATGCCATCACTTCATGTAATGCCAATGTTAGGCATGCGTCCTGTACAACTTAACGCACTGTTTCCTTGTACGGGTCCATCCTGCAAGATGGAGGGAGGTTCTCCGAAAATCTTGATAATGTGTGGTAGCGTTGTATACGCCCTGCCGCTATTACTGATACAAATTCCAGTATGCGCAATAATTTTGCAAACCGTAAGCACCCCGCCAAGTATTCCCAAAAGTCCATTACAGACGATAAAAGCTACTTGGAGAGATCCTGGTTGGTATATTAAATGATCTTGATTTTAAATATCAGAAAATGAAATTGATTCTTTTCTTTTTTTCTAGGTGGCGAGGATTACCCTCGAGATTTTCCAAGCGATAATTCAGATATTCACGAATGCGTTCCCATCAAGTATGATAAAAGCACAGATACTGATTATCCTCATGTGCCTGGATTATCTTATAGTACCAAGAAACCCCTGAAGTACCACAAAGGGAAGAAGAAGAAATTGGTTATCATTACTGATAGAGGTAACGTCACTTACATCAAGCCCAGTTAGAGCGACTGTCGTTACATAAGAATACTTTGGTCGGGCGATATTTGTCGTATATACGAATTTAATGTAACTGACAATGTACTTAAATATATATATATATAGTATACACACCCATGGTTTGCACTGAATATTGTTACTGTTTCTTTGCTATATTTATCACAATGCATGCCTTGAATTTTCATTACACACCTCCAAGCTGCATTGATAATTTGAGACATGGATTTTGGAAGAGAGAATTGTTGTTAGTTCCGCAAAATTCTACCAGATGGCGCTGTTAAGCGCCTACGCTAGTCCCGGAAAATTCGGTTAGAGGGCGTGGAATGAGAATTCGTTAAATTATCTCCGAAAATTGCATTTTCGCGGGAAGAATTTTTGTTAGTTCCGGAAAATTCCACCAGATGGCACTATGAAGCGCCTACGCTAGTTTCGGGAAATTCCGTTAGGGGGCGTGAAATGAGAATTCGCTTAATTATCTCCGAAAATTGCATATTCGTGGGAAGACCTTTTGTTAGTTCCGGAAAATTCCACCGGATGGCGTTGTCAAGCGCCTGCGCTAGTTCCGGAAAATTCCGTTAGGGGGCGTTGAATTCGGAAAATATCGTCATGGCCGAAAAACGTAAGACTGCTAAGATTGCACAAGCTCTGACCAGGAACACTTCAAATTCGAAAGACTCCCGTAGATTCCAAAATCTATAACGAGGAACATGTAGAATCCAAAATTATATACGTAAACTTCAAACTTGTAATTAAAGAACAGCACTGCAATAGTCACTGTCTACTAGTATGCGTCTGACTGAACGCTGTACCTCAAAACAATTGCGAATCGCACATTTGGCATGAAGCTACTGCACGAAGTTAGGTGTTCCGTCAGTATCAGTAATCTGCGAAAAAATAACCAAATGCGAAAGCAAATATCTCCGTTATCATTAATTCTATTCGTATGAACCCTTTTTTCATTTCTATTCTTTCTTCTTTATGAATCTTGCATTTAACTTTCTTGGATATCATTTGAAATGGCAAAGATAATTTTTTTGATTAACGAACTGCAATTCAACGAACAATAATAAAATGCGCAACCGATACGCAATAAAAAAACATTAAATGGTTGTCACATTAGATTTCCGAAATCGTGCATCGTTCAATCGCAAAACCGCAAACGCGCGTCTTAACCGATACACTCTATATATTGATATCTTCTAATCCGAAGTTATCAACCAAGAGCAAGGATGCGATCTTAACCCGATGTTAGACCCGCTCGTGAAAATCGGGTGCAACGTGACACGCAATCGTATATGTATCAGAAGGCTAATTGTCTTCTCCTGTCAGTTGCACCCCACTTGGCCCTGTCTATGCCACACGCCCCTTCAGGCTACGGCCATGGCTTCTACCGCCCCGAGTTCTCGGCACCCCAAATTATACGGCAGAGAGGATAAAATAATTACATACTAACATTCACCTTTCGATATGCCATGCGACGCCCTTGCCTACAATCTTATTTGAATAGTGTCATCCGGACATTAACGTGCATGACCTGACAATTAAAGAGGAATCAACCAGAGAACACGTGTCCTACCATTATAGATGACCATACATCGCTAAATTACATATACGGTTACATTACGTGAAGTATAAAATTAACCGGTACACTTGACATAGTTTGTATTAATATTTGCAAAATTAAAAAAAAAATATTTCATCAATATGAAAATTCATCATTTTCAGCACAGGGATAAAGGGAGCAATAGGTGCGCCCTGATATGAATAATCTTATTCTATTAGCCAGGTATTATTTTCCATGAGCGACATCAAAGAGGATTTGCCGGGCATTGTATTATCGTGATAATTCCTCGTTATTAGGATGGGGTGTTGGTTTCATGTCGGCTTACCACACCCCAAGTGCCGAAACAAATCCTGCCGAATTGGTAGCGATGCAAAGGAGCTCAGCGGCCTTTCTTATCCCGGATGACAAAGGAACAAAACGGGGGATACGGCAACACCATACATAGTTATATTTCCGGGTGAAAGCTGAAGGCGTATAATATTTTTAGAAACTGGACCAAAGCGATCTGCTCAATTTACATGAAAGTGGTTTTTAAGTCCATCGACTTCGGAACCTCAAATATTTACCCGAATTCTCGATAAGGACCAATATAGTGTAGACGGGTCTAAGAGATTTTCGAGCAGGGATACTTGAACCTTTCTGAACCTGATCTCGGCATAGAAATCATTCGCGTCATTCACGAATCGAGATTTATCCCCACGTCTCTGACCGCATCTTTTATTGAAACCTGCCAAATCCGCACGCGGCCAGGACGGGTCAGTCGGTATGGCGATAAATGGATTTAATGGAAACGGACCGTAGGATTTTCTATGGTGACAGAAAGAGAGAGAAGGATACAGGCGCTTCTGTATATGTTGGATTATAAAAAAAAAATCTAATCTACTGACCGTTTTAAATCGCCTATAAATAACGCATTAGAAGCTAGACGGATTGGAAGCGGGTCCTGTCAGTCAACCGCGATGATTGCGGCATTGACGACACGTGTCAGAGATCAATCAGCACGCGTGCCCGTATTTTCGTATCATCGTCGCTGGACGTTCTCTTTCTCTTCGATATTTTTTCTCCCCTTCCAGCATCCCTTTTTCCCCTCAGCGTCTCGCAAAGCCGATGAACTTGAGGAGAAAATCAAACAGTGGAGTTTTCAAAGTAATACCTACGTATATACGTACAATATAACCAGGCGGATAAGACGACGGTAGGATTAACGTCAAGGGCCGACTGGAAAGGTTTTCTTCCGTACACTTACGATAAGAAGAACAAACAGAAACGTAAAGAGAATCATGGTAGACAAACCAAGATGGAGCAATATTTAGTCGGTTATAGTGGTCGACGTATCGTATATGGAATATACCCATATACGAATTACGTATAATAAATATAATAGTAATATTTCGAATACCCGAGGCATTATTTATTACTGCTATACTTGGATACGTACAATATATATATATATATATATATATATATATATATATATATATATATATATATACAGTGACTGAAGATATAGAAAGTTCAGGTAAATTGGAAACGAATGTCTTATTACATATTTCGTTGGACATAAAAGTAGACACGTACCTTAGTTAAACTAGACTGGCTTGACTCTGGTGACGTAACAGCGGTGAATATCAAATCCACGAAGATTGCCGCAATCCTGTAAGAGGCCCGTATCACTGGATACCCTGTAGGTAAGGCCTGGAGAAATTGTGAGAAAATTGAAATGCCTCAACAACCGTAAGACACAACAAAGAGCGTGGATACTTTCCAGGAAGAGTTTATACTCGGAAGAGGATAACTAACCCTTTGCTAAGGTGGATAATATCGTGTAAGTGGCAGTTGCGGTACTGAAGTTGCATCCGTAATTTTCATAGAGCCCGTTGAGAATTCAGCTTTACGTCGAATAAAGATACAACTGTCAATAAATATGAAGGAACTCCTTGGTATCTTAATTTGTTTAGTCTGACGCTTAAAAAAAGTTATACGAAATGTACTATTTTTTTTTTAAATTTCAAAATATCGATTAATCGTTATAGGCATAGTTTTGGGTGTATTGGTATTTGCTCGATTTCTTTATGCTTGATATTGGTAATATGTATGAATCATGACCAGACGTTGGCTGAGATGTGATTATATGGTGTCAGTGGCGTACAGGGAGTACGGCGTACTTTGTACAGTGGGGTATTATTAAGCCGACAATACGTGGGGTTGCTGTGGCTAGCCTATGGGGTTGAAATTCGACTCCCATGCATCATAATAGAGACGCGTGCAAGGTTCAGTCCGCCATTTAGGCGTGCTATAATTATACACCGTGTCCCGACTGTCAATGCCTACTGAAAATTATTCTCCACGAATTATTTCTCATTAGACGTCTCTTTCGCTTTTTTGCTGTTCTAAACATATATATATATATATATATACATAGCGTAGATAATTCGTCGCCAAGTCGTTTTGAATTAGCTTTACATTCAAACGGTACTACGTTTATGGTTATAAACTGATTTACGCCTTTCCTATTGTGATAACCAGCATCAATGAATAATAACATATTGATATATCATTCTGTCTTATTATCCTAAGATAACGACTACCATGTATATGCAAGATCGCCCACGCGATAATGACAGCTGGTTAAACGTGTACGTACAGCCAAGAGAAATTGGCACGCGTTCAGTTCCACGTGTAACAAACTTTTAGAGTCGGGCTTAGATCGCAACATGTAAAGCGACGACGTATTTTTACCCGGCGGGATCCGATCGACTCGATTAATTGCCTCGTTTAATTATCAGATAGATTTAATCCACGCGCAAGTGTATCGCGCCGATAGAAACGCCAACGTTTCTTAACCCGCTATGAGTTACACGTCGTAATTAGTTGGTAGCTTAAACCGCAATATGCAATCGAGTATCATTATACACATAACACAGCCAGCTACTTGCAATCGCGAAGACATGATATTGACCGTATACGATATAACCTGGACTAACGACCGATTACCACCGGTTCACTGTATTTTCTTGCTGCGAATCAGATTACGTTAAATCCCCAGGAAATTGCATCACGTCGATCGGAAAACGTAGATTGGTATCCCGCTGTACCTACTGCCAATCGAGCGATACCAAACGATCCTGGTCATTCTGAACTTCGTTCTTTCGTTCCGTACGAACGTACAGTCAATAAAGGTGAACTGTAATCTTATCTAGATAAAACGATACGAAGAGGCTCCGATGATAATTTCATATAATTTTTTTTTTTCCTTCGCCTCAGCAATTAATATCACTTCACCGTGGCCAGTCGCCGACACTGCATAAATTCGGCGCCTGAATAATCTTCGTCATAATTCAACCCTTTCTGCCATAACTCATTTGTGCTGGGCAAGTTGTTCCGCGGAGTGACTTGCGGTATGCTAATGATTCGCAGATGCAAATGCGGGGCGTGGAACCATAGGCGAAAACAAACGACTTGTACTCGCTTATGCGAATAAAGAACCGCGGGCGGTGGTTGGAGGGGGGAGTGGTAATTTTCAAAGA